CACAAATGGACTGACCTTGACTTGTGCAGCATACACCTGTACCGCCGCTACCACCGTTACATAATTTAAGATGTACAGGCAACCTCTCCCTCAGTGAGGCCATCAACCAAGTACTGAAATGTTCCGCTTGTTTGCCCAGCTGCGGTGGAGGTGGCTCACGTCCAGCTAGCTAGCTAGCCAAGCAGATATTGTTTACCCAACGTCAAACTTTGTGTATTTGTAAAACATCCGCAACACAACATCCCTTTAAGGTCCCGCCCTGTCCCAGTAACGTAGACAGGTTCAGGTTTGCCTAATTCGGGTGAAGTTTGGAGGCGGGACACCCTATCAGCCATCATGGAGACCGGCTGCACCTACCCCGGGATATCCTGGTTAACGGGGCTCTATTGCGGCTGGGACTGACCACCTGTACTTTACTAAAATCTTCTAAGTTAACTTATAGTTGATAAATAAATAATATAAGACAGGAAGACTCGATGTCAGAAAACAGTGAAGATAGATAGAAGAGAAGAGGGACGAGAACTCTTTGGGAGGGATAAAGACACAAGCCTCCAGAGAACAGTGGAGGAGGATATGTTTTTGTGGCCAGAAGTGAGAAAAGGAATGATAATAAAACACAAGGAAAAACTAACCTTGTGCCCTTGAACATCATTCCCACAGAGTTATTAGGATACAAGTTAAAAAGAAGATATTCACAGCGGATATAAGTGTTTTTCTACTCTGTGTCTCCTCACACGGTGAAAACAACGCATTTTCTTGCGGAAATGTTGAAGGTTATCACCCAAATAGATAAGGCGGGCCAATTTTCAGTGTTAGGTAATGGTGATACTCTGAGCGTAAAGCTGGGTTTCATAGTGTGCGTATTTGGGTCCTCTTGAAAACAGGGAACGTCCCCCAAAAATCATTATTAAATAAATTTATTCTCAACAATAGCATAATTCTAGTGTAAAATAAAGCAAGCATGAAGCGGATGCAAGGTAAACAGTCTAGTATATCAACACCAGAAAGACCTCTTACTGTAGGAAAGAACATAATCGCCACAGCTCAACCTAACTCCCTGATTACTTAAGAATGCTTCCGACTTGAGTGAGACGCAGACCAGAGATGACGGTGAGTAACAACTCGGATTTGGCGTTGGAGTTGGTGAAAGGAAAAAACTTTTAGGACATTGTGCTTGGTATAAGACTGACATCAGTTAAAACACATGTAGTTTAAACTATTATAGCGATATTGATACATGGTAAAGATGTTTTCGACTAAGGTACGTAAAACATTTGACGCCACCAATACATTGGTGTGGTAAGCACGGTAATGCCAAGACTAAGAAGGATAGAAGACATCCAGGAAGCCATAGAAAAAGGAAGTATACCATAATAGAGACTGTTGAGCCAGCTAAACACTTTCTTCCCCGATAGTTCGATAACAGACAATCTATTATGATAAAATTAAGAAATGCAAAACAATGCGACTTGGGTTCAGGCATCTATCTTCACTCGTTGTCATCAGGGCTGCCTGGCTGCAGTATTTATGTTTCCATTGTAAACCTGCGACGGATCCACCCAACTATATGAAATAGATGCAGTTAAAACGACTTATTAAAGCCTCAAAACATCTTGTACTCATTTAACATATTTATAAGTCTCTGATACTCAACGTTCACATCATTCACCGATTATTTCAAGTGCTCATCATATGATTTTTTTTGTTTAATGTGTAACTGTGCCGCATATTTAACTCCAATATGAAATTATTCTCAAATGCAAATTCAGGAACTAACCTTTCAATATTTCTCTTATGGCTTTAAACTGTGAAGTTTGGAATCGTTAGATTAGATCAAAACGACCACTAAATATTTTTCACAAGTTTTTAAGCTCTGCTTTTCAGTAATATCAAAGAAAAACTTTACACCACATTTTAATCAAACTGGGATAAGTGTTGTTAGGAACCTAGACGCCTCTCCCTTCTCTGGCACCTAAGGAGAAGATTCACTTAACTCCTAACCCCCAGAGTCCCAGCCAGCAACCAGCGCCAACCCCCAGGCAGACTGTGACAGGTCGAGGCGGAATTCTCTCCACTCGAGGGTAAATTGCGCACGTCCGCTGAGCTAACATGCAGCCTCAGCACCCAGGTGTTGCATTAACACAGATGACGCAAGTTTATTTTCAGAGTTTGACTTCCTGAAGGTGTGCAAGTTTAGGTCATCACTACCGGGTTACCCACAAGTGTTCCTACCCTGCACTGGTGGGCTAAACTAGGTCTGGTGGTGGAAGAGTTGATAGATCACCTGGACGTTCGTCCTCCCAGCTTACTTTACCTGAAGATTAATCCCCGTTACACTACCCCTACCTATCCTAATCTAACCCCCAACCTAACGTAACCTAACTCCCCCAGGTAGCGTTAGGATGATCGATCTTCAGATGAAATAAGCTAGGGAGAAATTTGACTTGTGTTTTTTCCACTAAGCACCTCGCCAAACAAGTCGCTGCAATAACACGGAAGAATACGACACAACACACTTCAAGGTAATTAGTCCCCCCTCTCAACCCCCATCCATTACCCCCACCCCCCTCGCCCCTCCATCCCACACCACACCAGTACCTCCTCAGCGACCCTCTTCCCTCACATCTACCCTCCTCTTCACTCCACTCATCCCTCCCAACTATAACCCCCCCCCTTCCCTTCATTCTTTCCTCCCGTTCTTCATTGTAATTCTTCACTCTCTTCTCTCGTTCTTCCTCCCTCTGCTTAATTTTTCTCACACTCTTCATCCCTCATGTGCCTCCCCCGACACATCCTCCCCGACCTCTGCCTTACAGGAACCTTCCGCCGGTTGCTGTTACTTGCATTACAGCCCACCAAGTCCCTACGAGATTGACTGTCCATCGTCCACCTCTCATACCATCACAGTGAATATATTAGTGTGCTAACTACATTAGGCTTATTATGTTTTCATTTATTAATTACTGTTCAAAACCTGCGTTCAATGTTGTATCTAAACCCCATTCGTTTACCTGGCAATGTATCGGGGGTATTATTATTATTATTATTATTATTATTATTATTATTATTATTATTATTATTATATAGTTTAACTTCTCTTACGATGACACACACACACACACACACACACACACACATACACACATATATATATATATATATATATATATATATATATATATATATATATATATATATATATATATATATATATATATATATATATATATATGAGAGAGAGAGAGAGAGAGAGAGAGAGAGAGAGAGAGAGAGAGAGAGACCCTTATCGGTTGTATATTTGAGCAAACTTGTGATTTAGGTCTCGGTACCGGACATCTGTGGCCTTATAATATTACTCGAGATCTTGCGAGACCACAAATTGATTTTTTTTCAGATCAGCTGGTTAAGTATAGGTTCAGGTAGGAGCAGTCATCTCCCTTTGGGTTACTAATCCATTAATTCACCATAAGTTGGGATTTCCTGGATCTCGGTCTCGGACTTAGTGGTCTCGGCTACATTACTGGTGCACACATGCCAGTACGGATGAGCAGATAATGTACTGTACACATGTGTTTGGTTGTTGTTGTTGCGGTTGTTGTTGTTGTGATCGGTGAGGGCGTTGATAGTGAGGGCGATCTTGTTGAGTGTGAGTCCTATCAGACGTCGTTACACTGTTGGCAACACTAGCCAGGCACATGTAGGGTCTTGTTCTGGTGCTGTTGTTCTTACTGTTGTCACGACAATACTGCTTCAGGTGATAGCATCGCAGGTGGGTGTGTGGCTGTATGTTGTGTGAATTAGATGGGTGGGTGGGTTGGCTGTTGCGTGAGTTAGGTGCTGGGTGGCAGGTGGGCGGTCGGGTATGACTGTTGCGTGAGTTAAGTGCTGGGTGGCAGGTGGGTGGGTGGGCGCTTTCATTGATCGTCAGGGTTGTTAATGAGTGACCAGCGGGGCGGGGATCATGGGTTGTTGTGTTCTCTGCTGGACCAAACACCGCTTTGTTTGTCTCTCTGCCTTTCCGTGTGTGTGTGTGTGTGAATTTTCATTTTGTGCGTACCTTTTGTGTTTTTTCGTGTGTGTATGTCTGTAATGGGCGGGGTGGCCGAGTGGATAAATCACTTGCCTCCTGACCCCCAACGGTCACCTGTTCGATTCCCACGGCCGGCCACTGATTGGGGCGGCCCCAGACTATCCAGCTGCAGAAGGAGTTTATGACTTTTCAGTTAGGGAAGTAAAGGCAGTGCCCGGCCACTCTGTGTACTGGAGGCTTAGTCTTCTGTGTGCTGCGTCCCTCCTGGACCGTCAGGAAATAAGTTACATGCTATACTTTACCTTCCCTTGTAAACATTTTCTCGTTAAGACTGTAACACATGAGAGGTTCAGAGACAAGAGGACCCGAGGGTGTAACAAAAACTAGTAATAATATTAATCCTTTCGTTTTCATTCCCGATTACTGAGATATAGTATTTGTATAGGTGTGTGCGTCCCCATTGCTATCTGTGCGTTTTTGCGTCCGGCCATCTGTCCACCCCTAAGCCGCTGGGCTCGGACATCCGTCATTCAGGAGATCCGTGTGTGTATCTATCCGTTCGCCGGTACGTTCGTGCGTCCATCCGTCTTTAGTGTAACCTACTGTGTTAGAATTTTTCATAGGGGATGTACCCACCAGCCTCGCCCACATTTACTTTATATAATTTTTATCTTTTAATCTTTGTGTTTACATTTTTGGAGCACATAAAACTGTTCCTCAAACAAGAGCGTGTCGACCTTTGTAGCAGTGTTTGTGAAGCGGTGGTCACTGTTTTCCGTGTGATTATCTTTTACCAGATGTGTTTGGAGGTCCCCCACGCACGACCTCCTGTCACCACTCGAGTCAGACATACACTGTTAACGGAAGGAAGTATTTATGTAATAATTAATGTGTGTTAATATAAAACATTTGAAACACATTTTTTATTAATAAAAAATATCTATATTGAAACTGTGTCCTGTACTTGTAGGTGTGACGGCCCGATAGGGTACACAACGAGGCAGTGTGGCCAGCACTGGACTCATAGCTGGATTGACTAGCGGGACCTCCAGCGCCAACTAGCAACTGGAGGGTAACACTGTATCCACTCGGCCACCACATCCCAGTCATCAGTATCAGAATATTTTAAATCCTGGGATATATTGTAATACCTTACTCACTCTTAATAAAGTTTTCATTTGGTGTTCAGCGTCTTGTATAATTTTAAAGTGAAGTATTATAATGAGCTAATAAAATAGCTGGCCATTGAGAGGTTTATATGCTGTGCCAAAAAACAAAATCCAGCTGTCCGTAATATTTTATGTTAGTTGGATTATAACATTTTCATGTGTGCCTTTGAAAAATATTTTGAAAAGATAACTATGAATTCTAGTTTGAAAATAAATAATGAAAAGGTCATTCATGGAGTCATTTTAATTTAATATCTTTCAAGCCTGTCATGCCGGCTGTCGGTGGAGCAGTGACGCTTTTTGTCTGTTTGTGTCTTTTAACGTTATAGGTTCTGTACAATAACGTCAGCTTTAACCACCATCTTCACCAAATATTAATAGCAATGTTCCCTAAAAAGTCAAAGTTAATGTCACAGAAGGTCGTCGACACCTGGGTAAACCAAACTCGGCGGCTCCATCACTGCGTGTGTCCCCAGTACTCTTGTTCATCAGTGTTGGGTATTATAGCAGAGTGAGTGAGAGTGGTGGAGGCACTGTAAGGAGGTATGGTGGTGGAGGCACTGTAAGGAGGTATGGTGGAGGCACTGTGAGTAAGGAGGTATGGTGGTGGTGGAGATGAGTAATTATAAATGTGTAATGTAGGTTGCCAAGGGCGCCGGCTCGTGCCTGCAGCACCCAGGAGGGACACCACAATACAACAACCACACTGAGAGGGGCACCACCACCACTACACTGAGAGGGGCACCACCACCACTACACTGAGAGGGGCACCACCACCACTACACTGAGAGGGGCACCACCACCACTACACTGAGAGGGGCACCACCACCACTACACTGAGAGGGGCACTACCACAACACATGTTTACCACTTCTTTCCCTGGTGATAGCGGCAGATGTTGTCAAGAGATTCCTCCCTCCCTCCCTCCCTCCCCCACCAACGCCCTTCTGAGGGGTTGATGTGAGATATTTCAACTCTCAACTCAAATAGACTAGAGTGAGGGAGATGGCAGCTCATCCCACAGGAGGCTGGTGTAATATAATCTATTTAGTTCTAGTCCCATACGTTAGAGTGAGAGAGACTGTGATACCTCTCGCCTCTCTGGAATTACAGTGAGAGATATGTTGACCTTCAGTGCCAACAAGATAGGCTCTCTGTCTCTCTCTCTCCCTCCCCCTCTCTCTCTCTCTTTGGTAGTACAGGCAACCTCACCTCCCTCATCTTCCCATCAGAAAGGCAGAGCGTAAAAGATAGGTTTAATGTCTCCCTCACATAGTTACGTGAGAGAACATTGAGTGTTCCTCATGTGCAATGGTGGTAGGAAGAGGAGGGTGTTGTTATGGTCCTTCTCAGTGAGGTATTTTCGGGTTGTCTCACGAGGTGGGAGTGAGAAACACTACACCAGCTTCCAGACGCGCACTTCTCACGACGATCTGCTGAGTGTATCGGCAATGCTCGACTCTTGCTTACCTGCTCTGGGTCCTTCGTTGCTGGTATGAGGGTGTTAGTAGGTTGGCCTTCCTGGTGATGCAGATTTCTCTTATATTTTCTCTGCTGGTACTGCTGGCTCGCTGTTTACTGGTGCAGCATCCTGACACCTTTGTTGGTGCCGTCAACAGAAACACGATTCTACTGCTGTTACCTGGTAGTTAGAAGAACGCTGGTAGTATTTGTGCTACACTGTGTTTCTGTTGCTGTCGGTGAGGTTACTACTTGTGCTGTCGTTACCTCTGCTGTTGTAGGTCGAGCAATTACTGTTACCCTCGGGCAATCACGTTCGTGCCTACCAAGGATCCCCGGGACTATTGTGGCGGGTGTTGTCCGGATAACGGAACGTGCGTGGTGAAGGTGTGTGTGGATGTGGGACTCCAGGACTGACGTCAAACTAGGCTCTGTCCCGGACAGTCATGCTGCTGTTGGCTGTTCTTCACTGTTGCTACCCTTTTGGTGTTCGCACCTCGCAGTATTGGTGTTTTGTTTATTTTTATAGGGAAAAGGTCTCGCTGAAAATAGTGAATATCAGGTTAAACGTAGTTGTGGTATGAAACTTTTTTGGGGAGTTGACGAGAAAAATAAAAAGCTAATTTTTAAGGAATGCACATGTACAAAAGGTGTTGAAAGTTGTTGATCTTGTTTACTCCAGGTTATCGTTTCCATGGAGCGTGTAAACAGGTTGGGTGTGAAGGAAGACGGAGGAGCTGCTGGGTAGGGTGGTGTGGAGCGTCCCTAATTCTCTGTCCTTGCCAAGACTTGCTGTGAATCGACTGAAGTTAAAGGTGCGCTCCCCTGGGTGGGTACTTGTATGCAGCCAGTATCTTTAATCAAACACACACACACACTGATTTTCTGTGTACCTTAGGTGGTGGTGTTACGGTGTGTCACATTCACCATGTAGCTACACTTACCTCCACTCCACGTCCCTTACCCTTGTGTCTTATTGCTTTACCTCTATTGTCGCCTGCACACAACCTTCCTCCCTATCCACACTCTTGGCACCTGCTTGCACTCCTCCACTACTCTTGCCACTTGGCCTGCTTTCCACCCACTATAAATACCACCTACCCAATTTCCTTTGCCACCTGTTTCACCATCTCCCACTTGTATTAACTTCTCCATCTATACCCACCTCGCCCATCACCTACACCACGTGACCCGCCTTCATCACACCTACACCGCGTGACCCGCTTTCATCACACACCCCACCGCGTGACCCCACTTTCATCACACCTGTACCCTTACGCCAGCACAATCACCTGTCTTGGTACTACCACCACACCTTTCGCCTCCATTGTTTTGTGATGCTTAAAACCTTCTTTCACCACCGCCGATACCATCTTCCTTCGCCTCTCCACACCGCGTCGGTCCCTCAACCACGTGTACCCACAGCACCTGATATCCACGGCCAGTACTCCAGGTGGCGAGATACCACGTACTGTTGGTTCCGCCACCTGGGCAGGAACACCACTATAACGGCGGAGTAATGCTCCTCCTAAACCTCCTCATCATCATCCCTCATCCTCTTGTTTAAACCCTCCGAAGCTTCTTATTAGAGTTCGGAATATCCTCATATTTTCCTTCCTTTCCTTTTCCCTCCCTCACTTTCCTTCTCCCTCCCACCTTTTGTTATACATTATTCCCTTGATGACGTCCCCTTTCTCTCTCTGGTCTCTCCTTTTTGTTTTACCATTATATAATATATATGATTACGTACCTTCTCTTTTGCATCATCGGTCTTCTCATCCCCGAGTCATCTCATCCCCGAGTCATCTCTCAGCTGGCCGGGTCGCTCGTTAACGGTCGTGACAACTGGGCGTCTGGTCATGAAATTCTCATATCGCTCCATAATGCTTCCAGCCAGCTCTTCCTCTCCCCCACACCCCTCTCTGCTGAGACTCCTCCCTCCCTCCCTCCCTCCGCTCGTAATCTGGCCAGTTTCTTCTCAGACTCAGAATCCAACCATCTTCTCCTGACCGTTCTCTAAATCCAACCATCTTCTCCTGACCGTTCTCTTAATCCAACCATCTTCTCCTGACCATTCTCTAACTTCAACCACGTTCTTCTGACCGTTCTCTAAATCCAGCCATCTTCTCCTGACCGCTCTCTAAATCCAGCCATCTTCTCCTGACCGCTCTCTTAATCCAGCCATCTCCTCTTGCTCGTGCTGCAGAATCCAGGAATCTTAAACATTGGTCTTGAGTTTGGAGCTCCTTAAGGCGGGGAGGTGTTGTGTACATGTGTCGCCTCTAATTGAGAGAGAGAGAGAGAGAGAGAGAGAGAGAGAGAGAGATCGCCTGTTGTTGGATGGGGGGTGGTTGAGATGTTTTAATGAAGGGATGGCAAAGACAAATGTTGTGGTCGGTGTCACCCTGGGTACGTAATGGGTACAAACAGGTTTTAATAGTGTCTTGAGATAGGCTATAGAATGACTGCTTTGAAAGGTATTGTTCTTGGGTACGGGGACATTAGCCCGTCTGTTGTCTGCGATAATTGGATAAAAAACCCAGAATGGATCTGTCGTATAATGCGGGTTCAATGGTGTCGGGCAGTGACTCGCTGCTTGGTATAAAGTGGGTATAAGATTACTTAATGAAGGGTAGTGTTAAGTACGGGAGTGTCATGTCACAGTGCCGCATGCCACACTGTCGTGGTGCTTCTTGACACACACACTAGTGGCAGACGGTGAATGTTACTGGAGTATTAGTATCACTTGACGCTGCACATTTACGGTACCATAACTATTAACATCTACGATGAGTACAGTATAATCAGTATTACTTTTAACACATGAAATTATTTACAGCTAGAGTACTATTGTCACTTGGCACCGAGTACAAAATAGTCACTGTTTATTCTAGAGGAACTTACTATATGACTAAGGAATGAGAGACCTGGAGGGCCACAGCTTCTCTCCCACACCACTTTGACCTGGTTTCTATATCCACTTGGGTCGGCTGTGAGGAGGGTGTAGCTGGATGTGACCCTACTGAATATGGTAAGACTTAACATACAGTTGGGGTTATAAGGAGTAGCCACTTTTTGTGACTCAACCAAACCAGTCGGCGCTCTCAACATATTAAGGAGCTGTAGTGAAAAGTGACAATATGACTCAGGAAGTTGCCAAAGATGACCAGTTTGACGTTTAGCACAGGCAGTGAATACATCGCGGAACTCGACAGTGAAGTATAGCGATGTTGAGACACTACAGGTGCATCGGGTGTCTTTACAATGGACCAACAAACAACATGCTCGTCCGATAACGTCACAAGATACCATCAGCTGACCGCTTACACAATATTCTCTATTGTCTCAGTAAGACTTTCTGTCTTGGATCGAGAGAACAACATTCATTTACGACACAAACTCCATAGTTGCCTATAACCATTTTTACAACTCTGCTCGAGAAAGAGAGGAAGAGCAGTCACTACTTCATCTATCACTGAAGTCCGCAACAGTGGGGATGAATTTTGGGGTCTAAATTCGGATGAAGTCCTAATTATCAATATTTATTGCAGTGTGGGA